TCTGTCATATAATAATATTTTGAATATGTCACTTACGACGAGATTTCAATTTCAACGTGACCTATGATTATAAAGCAAGCAATATCATTATTTTATTTCTCTTCATATGTAAGTTAGATGTGTGAGTGGCTATTAACAGAAAATAAAAATAACGTTTGCGCGAGTACATAGCATAACTCACAATAGTATATTTCATTAATAGGACCTCCTACATCTCCCACATGTCTTCCTGGTGAGTTTGTGTGTGATAATGGCCTGTGTCTGCCTCATACCTTGGTGTGTAATAACTATGACGACTGCGGGGACAATTCCGATGAAGATCCGGCGATATGCAATTGTAAGTTTCATGCGTTTATAATATGTTGTGCGTTGGCGGGTAGTTGAATAATACTTGCGCTGCATAGCTCAGTGTTTTAAATATATATGCCTGGGGGGAATGTATGTTTTCTTACGCGGTAATTTGAGCACCAGTCCTAGAGCTAGCTTCTTGATGGAAACAGAGTAGAGTATTGACAAAATAAAAAAAAAACATTTACACCTAAACACAACTTTAATTTATTAGTTGCGGTCCTGTCTTGCAAACTGTATTATTTAAACACACGCATAACACATTTGCCTTATACGTTTACTGAACCCTTTACTGTTCTCACTTCAGATAGGGATTCCTGTTTAACAGATCCGTGCCAACATGGTGTATGTACTGCTATCGTACATGGATACACATGTGACTGTTTCCTGGGATTTACGGGAACGAACTGTGACACCGGTAAGTAGCTGAATTGACTAAACTAAACCCGGTGATTAAGTATTCTTGATTAATACCAATGATGGCTACAATGTTCCAGTTGTTATATACTCAATTTAGTCATGTGACCCATTGTTCAAGTAATTCGCATAATATAATCTTGAATTATATGCTTCAGCTTTGTACAATTATAAATGTTACAACATGTGACCACAGTTTATACAACAGAGTGAGAAAGTGTGCAAAATCAAATCCAATGATATATATAAGCAATGATGCAACATAATAACAAAAAGAATGGAAAGTGGTAAGGAAAGATTATTTAATTGCATCGCCAATGACAAATCACGAACATATAAAGGCGCACACGCAGACTCAAACTCATGGCCACGGCAGAGCGCCTTGTCACTGAAAACAAATTTTATCTCAGTACTTCACATCCCCAAAAATGTCAGCTCTGAAAAGCGTCCAATGAACGTGCCAACAGCAACTAGTTTGTGCATAAGTAGAATCTACAGTGCGAACAACAGCGACATGTGTTCATGATCAATATGACCTACTCAGTTAAGTTTACCCTCGGGGATAAAGTACATGTCCAGCAAAAGTGAGAAAGTGGTATTGACTACAGATAAACTGCCAACATAAAAGCACGTATACATTTAATTTGAACTCACGACCACGGCAGATCGCTTTGAAACTATAAGTGAAAGACGAATCTATTACGTCACAGACAATTACGTTGTTAATTTATGTTAGCAGTGTATTACTGGAACTCTATTTACATATCCTAGATAATGACTGACATTTCATTTGTAACATGATATTAATCAAGTCGAATACTAAAATATTTGAATGGGTTATTTGATTTACATGTGTTATTCAGACGTGAATGAATGCGACTCGAATCCGTGTCAGAACAGCGGTAGGTGTGATGATGGAATAAATATGTACATATGTGAATGTATTCGTGGTTTCACAGGGTTCCATTGTGAGAGGAGTAAGTACGTTTCCTATTTACTAGTACTGGCACATCTTATGGTTTGCTTTCATTTGATTATACTCGCATGTATTATATGGTTTAATGAAGATATTCTCTCATACATTTTCCTTTTATTGCCATGGTAACCGCCGGTAAGACTCATAGTTAAATATTCCGAAGTTTGTCTTTATTTGCACTTATATCGAGTAATACAAAATCTATCATGTGTTGTTATTTGCATTACATTTCAGAAATACCTCAAAGTTACCATATAGCAATACTATTATTTTATTTTTCTTCTCAGATACATATTAGCCCACGACAATACCATTTTATTACATAACTCCGCTCCTAACTCCTTTGTGTTCGACATTCATAGACCTTTCTTTTTTTCGATTATATCATCTCATGATTAATGCGGAATTATATGACAGATTTGAATACTTAAAGTCTGCTTTACAAACCTTGAAGTAATATTTCTATTATTATAACGGATATGACTATCATGGTAATCATATCTAATCATATTCAATTTCAACGTGACCTATGACTATAAAGCAAACAATATCATTATTTTATTTCTCTTCATATGTGTGATGTGTGAGTAGCTATTAACAGAAAATAAAAACCAGTTGCGCGAGTA